CTTAGTAGACAACATATCTTGCTTGCAGAGGGTCTGAATTCTGTGAGTGGCTCACAACCACCTGTAACTCCAGCTTCAAGGCATCTGAAACCTTCTTCTGGCCTCCACGGACACCTTTATTTATATTACACATACACGAACACACACACACACACACAAACATGCACACACACCCACATACACACACCCACACATGCACATATACACATACCACATGCTCACACGTGCACACATGACACACACATACACAGACACACTCACACATGCACACAAACATCCATACACGTATACCACATGCTTACATGCACACATACACATTAGACACACACACACACACACACAACACAGAGACACATACACACAAACAAAACTAAACCTTTAAAGGAATCCTATTTTTTGAATATTAATCCACACAAACCTTTTTTTCATCTTTCCCTGTTTATTTCCTCCTTGCCTCTCTTCCATCCCTTATTTCTATTTTTTTATTTTTTGTTTTTTCAATGAAGTACATCAGTAACTGATGTAAGATCTATCTCTCTTTGCTGAAGAAAAAACAAACCAGAAATACCTTTTAGCAGCACTGATTAACATGTGCCTTGCTGACTATTCATGATTTAGAGCCACTCTATATATTTGAAATGTATTTTATTATTTATTGACTTGTATGTGCATGTGTACGCAACATATATGCAAATGGAAAATATGAAAAGAAATAATCCTCATAATTTCATAGTCTCATTATTATGTGATATTGAAAGTCATCCATTCTCCTCAAATTGTGAAAAATACAGTCTAGTTAAGGCATATTTATTTATTTTTATTTATTCATTTATAACTTTATTTTTATTTTATTTTATTAAAACAAATTGTCTTTTTTTTATTTTACATACCAATCCCAGTTCCCAATCCCTTCCCTCCTCCCATTCTCTTCACCTACTCCCCCAAATCCCGCATCTACTCTTCAGAGAGGTTAAGGCACATTGCTTTTGGGAAGGTCCAAGACCCTCCCTACTATATCTAGGCTGGTATCCATCCAAAGAGAATAAGTTCCCAAAAAGCCAGTACAAGCAGTAGGAATAAATCCTGGTGCCACTGCCAGTGGCTCCCGCAGTCTGCCCCAGCCATATAACTGTCACCCACATTCAGAGGGACTAGTTTTGTCCTTTGCTGGTTCCTTCCCTGCTTGGCTGAAGTTGGTGAGCTCCCATTAGCTCAGGTAGACTGTTTCTGTGGGTGTACCCATCATAGTCTTGACTTGCTTGCAAATGGATTATTTATTTTACTCAACAAACATTGATCAGAAGTCACACATGGTCAAGAAAATGCATGGAGGATATAGCACTGAAAAGTTAGTCTTCATTCTTGTAATTAAAAAAAAAACACTCAATATTCTTATTGTTAACAACTGCACTACACACTTACTGTATGCTAATAGGCAGATTTTATGCACCATGCCCTTTACTACTGAAAAGTGCAGAGTGCAAATGACAGGTAGATTAGTGACTACATAATCCAATCCAAAAAGATTAAATGCTAGGAGGGGTCAAAGAGTAAGATGTGAAGATTTCCATTATGCATTAATTTTATGAGGCTACAAATGGTCTTAAATGGGAGGTTCATGGATTTTTACGTAGGTATAGTACAGAGGAATTGTTTTTATGACATTGAAATAATGACCTTTGGGGGACTCTGGTTTCCACTTTGGTTGTTATAAGTAATATTTTTATATTTGGAATTTTTACCATCTTCCTCTAACGTTTCACACATGGGTTTCCTTCATCTGCCCTCGCATGGGGGAAGCACTCCTTTTAGTTTTCTGCAATGGAATTTCTCATAAATATCCTTTACTTAAATCTCTAATAATTTGTAAATTCTTAACTCTCCTGTGTTCAGTCCATGTGTTTGAGTGACGACTAAGTGAGGTTCTACTAAGAGGAAGAAACCATGACAAGCTGACACTCAAGAGCTATGTGGGCCCATAGAGCAGCGATGATGCTGGTTCTGGGGTGCATAGAGCTGGGGAGATGGGAAACAAGGGTCATGGAGTAATAAACCCAGGAAGACTGAAATGAAAGCAGCTCTCTATTTCTCTCAAGACACAGATGCGGAGGGGATTGTTTGTCTTGTGTTATGTCAGAAGATGCTTTCTGCCAACCTTGATGTGGAGATGATAAACACATTAAAGATACATACAAGAGGAAGATTTTAGACTCCTAACATATTTAGAATGAGGAGAAAGTCTAGATGAAGGAGCAACCCTGGGAGAGTCACAGTACTTCAGTATATTCGGCTTCCCTTGTGCTTCACAAATTATTAAACTGTGATCTACCTACGCTCTATGGTCTGGAGCTCACCATAGGAAAGAATTTGGAAGTCAGGAGGTAATAGAAATGTCAGTGTGTTCCAAGATATATTTTATTTTATCGCTTTGGTATCTTATCTTCTTCTCTAGTAAACCCTCCTTTCTCAAGGGAAATCTATTTGATTTTAGTTGAATAAATCCTACACAACTTAAGGACAGAAGTTTGAAGAAGACTTGACTAACTTAACTTCCTTTTTCCCTGGCTTTAATGATTGTTGTATGCATGCCAGTAATTTAGAATCTTCTCTGGCAATTTCTGTTAAAACAAGCCAAAAAATTATCACTATTCACTGTTCCTATGATGGAGTGTGTGTGAAGTGAAGGTTGGGGCTTTTATTTACTTTGCAGAGAAACTATGAGGATATCTATGATGTCTATGAGTACAGGATAGAGGCCAAGTATACTTTGATATTTTTATTTGTCAAGTTTGATTGCTTAAGCCATTACTAAGAAAATACTTATGCAATACTTAAGCATACAGACTAATGAGTTAATCACCTCAAAATCTAATAATGATGATGAATGTAATTGCTTACCATTGTTGGGGTTTAAACAAGTTTCAAGTGTTTAGTGTGTATTGTTTTCACATGTTCTAAAATGCCAACAATTCAAAGTAGATAAATGGTAGAGTGACTTTAACAAATGACACAAAACCAAAATTCACATTTACTTTTTTATGGAGAATTAGAGGCATAATACTCCATCAGGTAAGAAAAAAAAATGGTGCCGATATGGCTGTGAACACCGATGAACTCCCAATTTGACAGATTCTAAACTTCCACAAATGTATGTAGCTCACCAGTATTTTCAGTAATAACTTACATAGTGGAATTAGTTGCTCACAACATGAAATGAGGGGGTCTCTAAGGCAGACTGTCGACTCCACTGAGAGAACGAGTATTTCTACAATGAGCGAGCATTACCTCTGAAATGCCAAGTCAAAATTCCTTTGCCGAATAAAAAGTTCTTTTCTGTAGTCGTATACGATAGAGGCCATTTTCATATTTATTTTTCTCTGTATTTCACTTTGGCCATTTCAATCACATTAGCTTTACTGTAAAGCCTCTTCTAACAGACACTTCCAGCCTTGATTCAGAAAGTAAAATGTATACTTTCCTAGTTAGCTTACTTTAAATTGCCTCCAGCAACCAAAAAAATAAAAAAAACAAAATTAACCCCTTTCTTCACATGAATGTGTAACTAACAGTCATTTTCACTATAAGAAGTAAAGCATTGTTTTCTGTGGTGGGTGAACAGCCCAAAGTTTCAATTCCTTATTCCTTTCCAAAGACATGCAGACTTACACTCAATACTTCTGATCCTTGCCTATTAAAAGTTGCTAAGATACTTTTGTTAATACACCAGAGATCAAAACTCCTAGAATGGTTTGAAGACTACCAATCTCCTATTCACATCCACTTAGAAACTCAAAATGCAAACTGATTGGCAGCTAGGAGTTTTGCAACATGCAGTCACAACAAGACAATGCCAAGACAGAGTAGAGTGGGTACCAAAACTCAGTAATGGATTTTTATACATAACGCTTTAGAAAAGGAAGAGAGTTCCCATGAAGCCACAAGCGTGAACAGGAGCGGTACTCCTCCAGGTCAGGGAGGGGTACTAGCTTAAGGTTGCAAAAGCTAGGAGGAAACTGGGAGGGATCATGGTCCCAAACCTTCAGACAGACCTGAGCTACACTGATTTTATTTCTGACACCTTGCCTCAGATCTCCGAGGCAGCTAAATTCTGCCATGCTGAGCTGCCTGGTCATTGGCACTGTCCCCAGTAGCTCTAGGGACTCATGTGGATGATTCATAGTATGTCGTAAAAGCTATGTCAGAGTTACGCATAATAATGAGCTGGTCAAAAGTCAGCCCGAGAATGGCAAGTCACCAGAAATAAGGTTAGAATGTTGTGAGGAGATATTACTAAAATATCTTGAGCTCATCTTGGGCTCAGGGTGTATGTGAGGCAAAACTTACCACCTGTTCATCTATGGGCAGTGCAGGAATCCATTAAGAATAGTGACCCGAAGCACTCCATTACATTATGAAATACCTTATCCCCTCCACAGCACTGTGTTCACTGAGGCAAGAGGATGAAATGATTACCTTAGAGAGATTTACAGCCACATATTTACAGTTGAACTGAAGTGGGTTTTTTTTTTTTTAATTTACTAGGGTTTTCTCTACAACAATGTTCATTGACATTTAGTTCTTTTGTTGTTTATTTATTGACTCCTTTAAAGAAACTTAAAACTGCTTGTTCCAAAAGTAAATATCCACATGCATCATTTCTTATCATTTTAGGGCAGTTAGAAACATCAGATGATGAGCTTTAACAGGGGCTTCTCTGCATGTAGAGAACGATAAATTAAAAATCAGATTTAATATTCAAACCTTGAAGTAGGTTCCAATTATCGTGAAAAATAAAAATCAATGGAATGAAATCCTTTCTACTTCCTAAGCTCATTGCAGCTATGAAATAGTAATTCTTTGCAGCACTTTTGTTCTCCATGGTTATGTTACTGCAGCTCAGCTGAGCATTCAAATTCTCCAAACTTCTGGTTAAAAGTCTATGTGCATTTTCTTTGTGCATTCTTTGATTAGTGTACAATTTCCTGTAATGTGAAAATTACCTCATTCTGTAGGTCACGGATCATTTTGCTCTTTCTTTCCACTTCAGTCTTCAAAAAATTAATCTGAAAAATAAATAAAATAGTATGGATACACCTTCTTGATATATTATCATGTTCTTTTTTACTTTATATCATTTTGAGGTATCCTGAAATCATTACAGTTTTAATAAAAACATTGAAAAAGAAAGGATTAAAGTTTTTCATTAACCACCCAGTAAAAGTTACCCCAGATTTTGACTCTAAACTATAAAAGCATCTATTGTCTTTTCCGTGGTGCTTCAGCTAAGGCACGCAGAGAGAACCAGCTGTTCTGTAGCTCACATGGGTAGAAGATGTTGTTGACCACCATTTTGGGTGTGGAAAGTCAAAAGACGTGTTCAAATGATTAGCAAGAAGAGAAGAGCAGGTTGCAGAGAGATGGGATGAAGCTGCAGTATGCAGATATCTGAGTCATATAGGTAGAGAGGTATAAGAATGATTCCAGATGGAGTCTCTCGTGTCTTCAAGAACTGAAACAGCTGTACTACTTTCTAGAAGACTCATAGCACCTGACTCCTGATCTTTGCTTTCTATAAAGGGCTGCTGGAGCCTTATGTTACCAGTAAGTGCCCTGCTCTTAGAGAATCTATGATCATTACAGCTCCATCTGTTACTGAATACTCAAGCTGAACCATCTGATAGTGATGGTATATATAAAACAGAAAATGCTTAAGAACTACCCGGCCTATTGTTTCAATCATTAATTCTCCACGATAATTTAAACTATGTGGATGCTTATGTCAAGGAAATATCACTAATCACAATCACTGTCCCATTACATGGTAAACTCAAGACCTTTAGTGATCCAAAATATTTACCTGTAATGGCGTGACACTATTTAAAATTTATGTATCTGCAGAACCAGGGCATGCTTTCTGATAGATGAATTTCATAGCTAGTTCTATACATAAGTATTTTGTTGGTTAACAAAAACTTTAAATTGTGAAATAGTGGAAGCAATCTTAGTTACATACATAATCTATTCTGATACCAAACCTTCATTTATCGATACATTCAGTATGCTTGCATTGCTAAAATTCACATTTATTAGGAATATACTGAAATAGATTACAATATCACGCCTGTAATTCATTAAATACTCCACGCAGCCATATGAGACTATGAAACTCAAATATATTCAGAATATTTTAAAATATTAGCATTTTGAGATCACTGGCTTAGAATCCCAGCAGGATTTAACTTCCCTGCAGAAATAAGTATTCCTGGTATTGACTTCAATAATGGCTTTCACAGACAAGAATAGCAAGTGTTTGCTGTGAGCAAAGCATGGAATAAAGGCGCTTCTTTATGCTTGATGAGGATGGAAGCTTTGAGGCAACTCTTGCCTTAGATTTATGTCTCATCCAGGACAAGTTGATCTATAAAAGTTAACAGGAGTCATGAAATGCATCCAAACACCATTAATATCTTTAATTATCATCGTCACACCTGCTAGCCTGTTATCCCTGCTGTCTGCCAGGCTTTGGCAAGGCAGACCCAAAGCTGAATGATTTCTCACTGCAATATCCATGCAGGGATGAAAACAAATCTTTCTGTCTTCATAAAAGTGTGATGGAACATGATCATTTCAAGGGGTATCTGCTGCTCACATAATACAAATTTTCATAAATATATTCTTTCACTTTCATGTTTTATGACTTAATAAACAAGTTTGTTATTGTAATTCACAGAATTTTAGTTTGGACATGGAAAAACTTCACTTATTGTAATTTTTGGAAGAATTGTACAATTTTTCATTTGAATTTTTTATTCAAATGTGACCTTTTTGGTCACAATTCAAAATTCAATCAAGGTCACCATAAAAGTATATCTTTCCTTTGAATGTGAAATGGTATATTTCCAATATTTGTATATTGTATCCAATTTACATCCATATTTGATCCATATTGGATATTTGTATCCAATTCCCCATCAGAACGAGGGAAAGGCAATTACAAAAACTTCCCTTCCTTGCCACAACTTTAATTACTGTAGAAGTATTAGAAGGCAAAATAATTAGTGATTGATTTGCAACAGTAGACTTGTCCAACACACAAATGCATTCAATGTTTAGCATAGGATGTTTATGTAGAAAGAAAAAGTCCAAGCTGTTCTGTTCGAGGTTCATCAAACTGTTCTTACCTTGTCTTCCCAAATGAGTAAAAAGTAAAACTTTAATCACTGGAAAGATTAAAAGTTTGCATTGTGTGTTTGTCCCAGATTTTCTTTATTGATCTGTTTATACACACCAGGATACTCTCATGGGTGTCTTTGACAGGCTTTCAGGGAACACAAGAGTAAGGAAAGCTCTTTGACATAAGGATTTCATTTTCATAGCATGCTTTCTGGGCTGGTTAATCTTCATTTCCAGCTTGATTAGATTTAGATAATGCAGGGGAAACACTCATAAAGCTATCTGTGAAGGATTTCCAGAGAGGTTTTATTGAGAAGGCAAGAGCCAACCTGAAGGTGGGTTGCACCACCCCAGAGGTTAGATGACTAAAGAAGAAATAAACCACAAATAACTGAGAAGTACTTAGAGAAATATTCAACTCCTTAGTCTTCGGAGAAATGAAAATCAAAATTACTTTGAGATTTTTTCTCATACCAGTCAGAATGGCCAAGACCAAATAAAGAATGACAGATAATGATGGCAAGGTGCGGAGGAGGAAACCTGCATTGCTTGGGGAGTGCAAACTTGTACACCCATGACAGCAATCAGGTTACTCAGGAAGATGGGAACTGATCTATGTCAAGGCTGAGCAATACCACTTTTGGGAATATATCCAAAGGACTCTAGATCTTATTACAGAGACAACTGCTCACCATCGTTCATTTCTGCTCTATTCATAATAGCCAGAAATTAGAAACAGCCTAGATGTCCATAAATGGAAGAATTGATGAGGAAAATGCAATACATTTATACAATAGAATATTACTGTAGCTGTTTAAAAATAAAATCATGAAATTCTCAGATAAATGAATGGAGTTGGAAAAAATCATTTTGAGTAAGGCAATCTAGATCCCAAATGACATACATTCACTTATACGTGAATGCTAGCTGTCAAGTCGGTAAGCAGGCTACAATTCACATAACTAGAGGTTAGGTTTATAGTTAGGAACTGGTGTGTCGGGGGTAGTGGAAGGTTGGATTATCTTAGGAAAGGCAGATAGAATAGATAGTTATGGATGGATGTTGTGGGTGGGCGCACTGGAACAATAGGACCAAACAGTGAGGAGGAGGAAGGAGGTCAGTGTAGGTAGGAACTTGGTGAGGTGAACAAAAACTAAGGGTCATTTAAGGGGTCATATGGAAACCTAGTCCAGCAGAAGCTTTCTAAAACACATGTGAAGGTGATCTAAACAGAATGGCCAAGTAATGGGGTAATGGGGGAAAATAAACCCCAAATAAACATTTCTCATCACCAAATGAAGCCTCCAGTTCCAGGAATGGGTCACATCAAATCTAAGTGTTGGTCAAAGGGACCCCATAGGAACTCCAGGCCTATTGCTGAAGAAAACACCTACACAAATCATTAAACATGGAGGAATTGAACTTGTGCCTGTGTAAAACATTTATCCCTACTGAACAGAGTTCATGATACTCAAAGTTACTCTGCACACTTCCAAAGGAGAAAGGTAAATATTAATCCAGCTACAATACCTTAGATATATGATGGTGACCTCTCTACAAGATGTGCTAGTGCAGTAGAGACACAAATTGAGTAATCAACCAATGTCTGATTGAATTTAAGGTCCACTTCATGAAATGCAACCTATGCCTAACACTGCTTGTGCAGCCAAGAATCTGAGACTAGACAGGACAGAGACCTTAAGGGAAAACAAAATACTACCATTCTGCTGAAGTGACATTACAGTACAATGACTTCTAACAGTGTTCTGATTAAGCTCAGTGTCATCCTCAGCCAGCATCAGAGAAGGTTTGTACTACAGTAGATGCAAATAAACACAGAAACCTGCTGCTGGACAAGCTGTGGAGAGACCATTCTAAATGGGATGTCTGGACAAGCTGTAGAGAGACCATCCTGAATGGGATGTCTCCATCAATTCCCCTCTGTCAGGGCTCAGGGAAACCTGTGGAGGAGGCAGAAGGGGAGAAGAACACTAAGGAAACAAATGACAGCAGGACGGTGCAAAGCCACAGAGACTGTGGTAGCATGTACAGGATTTGCACAGATCTGGGCCAGATGGGGTCCCATGATGAGACAAGAAGTGGACATAAGACCTCATCATTAGCCCAGGAGCTATCTCCAAATGATAACCATTAACAAATGGGAAAATTAGTTTCCTCCAATTGAGTTTCACTGCATATACAAACCACTTTTAAGGCCAGGCCCAATGCCCATCAGTAGATAGCCAACACAAAATGAACTCAGTGGCAATTTGAAGGCTTTTTACCCAAACTGCTTTGATGCTTTGTCAGGGCTCTTTGTTGTATTCTTGGTTTTAACCATAAAGGTCCTTAGTATAGACACACACACACACACACACAAATATAATGATTTTCTTTTTCTGTTTTCTGTTTTTATTTTATTTTTGTTTTGGTTTTGTGTCTTTATGTGATTTCTGCATGTGCTTACCTCTGTGTCGATATGAGTTTCTTGAACTTTATGGTTCTTTTGCTTCTGTTTTGGTTTGAGTATCTGTGCTATTCTGGTTTGTTTGCTTTTATTTATCTAGTTTTATTTTTATTATGTTTCTGGATGCCTCTTTGTATCCTACTGGGAGACAGAAAGAAAGGGTATCTATAGATTTGGGTACGTGGGGAAGTGGGAAGGACATATGACTAGTTGGGAGAGGAGAAGCATAATCAGAATATACTCTATTAAAAATATCTATTTTCCACGAAAACAAAATGAAGCCAAGCTGACAAGCTGAGAACCAGGAATGACATCCCTGTGCTTGCTGAGTGCAGAAACGCTGTGGCCAGGTTCATCGTGATCCTGTTACCGTATCTCGAGGTTCCCTCACCTCTGTGCCGTAATGGATGGACTCCATTGACT